ATTCACAAGGCCTCAAATGTAAAGCAAACCAAAAGGAAACAAAATCAACACGAATTTGTATTAATAAAATACCAAAAAAAAATTACTATAGAGAAGACAAAAAAATAAAAAAATCAATAAAGTAAATAATCCAAAAAAATAGACAACAAAAAAACAGAAATCTTAACTTGCGTTTAGCCTCTACACTTAATAAAATAATTTTGCTATTAAAATTACTACACGTCTCATTTATCAAAAGCTGCTGTTCAACACCGTAGAACGAATACAGAGACAGCACAATAAACAGCCCAAGCATCCCCATCCACCCACACACACATACAGTACAGTACAAAAAACGATATGTTGCAACAACAAAAAAGGTCCATAGTAAAATGTGAAAATAATAACAAAAAGTGCTTCAAATAAGGACAGGTTAATAGATAAAAAAAAAAGGCCAGAAGTTATTAACAACAAAGACTCTATCTCTGGTCTTGTCACTGTCCTCGCTCTATCGTTGCTCTGTCAATGCTATCAATATTGTTGTTGTCAGCAGCAACGATGTTTTGTTACATTAGAAGTTTAAAAAAAGAAAACACTCAATAAAGTATAATTAATAGTTTTTTAATGAGCGAAGTCACTCAATCAATTTTAAGTAAGTGAGTAAGTGTGGGTGTGTGTGTGAGTTTCGTTGAATATTTGTGGGGTGGTCTAAAATTATATAGCACGGAAAAATTAGTAGCCTTTGTGCTATGAAGTGAAATGAAAAGAGTTGCCCAAGTGGAAGGCAAACACAGAAACCTAACATAAAACTAGTGCACAATTTTATTGAACTTTTTTTCATTGTAAACAACATTTGAGCCTCACACAAACTTTAATGCGAGTAAAAATACGTCAGAAGTAATAAGGAACACGAAAAACATTGTTAATAAAGCTTAAAATATTTGCAGAGCACGCACAAATGAATTAAAATCAATTTTAGGATTTTTTTTTCGTATTTTTTTATTAACGTTAATGTAAACGTACACTAAAAAAAATTATTGATAATAAAATTAGTTTTTTGTAATGTGTATTTTCTATTTATAAATATAATAAAATGCAAAAAGAAATTAAAATAAAAATAGTGAATGAGTTTTGATTAATATAGGGCACGACAGTGCTATGATCTAATAAAATAAATAAAATAAAAATATGTGAAAAGAAATACATTTTTAATTTAAATATACATTCTTACAGAATATCTAAACTAGATATTCTTTTTTTTTATTTATAATAATATGCATATTATTTTTTTTTTATTATATTATTTTTATAGTTTATGAATAATATAAACACAGCAAATGAATGTGTTAATAAAACTTTCACAGTAAAGTAACAAAACTCAAGAAAAATGTGGCTTTAGATTAGTTGGTTAAAGTGCGTTGACTCTGAACTTCAAATTTGGCAGGGCACGAGTTCAATCCCTGATACTTGCAGTCTCAAAAAACATTATTTACAAATAATTGAATACAAGAATTATTTCCAAGACCACCGATGATGGGTACGAGTATTTGGCAATACTCGAAACTGATGTAAGCCAAAAATTCAATTAATTAAAATAATATAAAATGAATTTTTGTTGCTGTAGTCCACTACTGTTCGAAAAAGTCTCTTTTTATAGTTTGAAATTTTTATATATCAATATGAGGATTTTTTTAAGTCCAAATACTAAAACTTTTTGCAATTATATAATTTTTGTCACTATTATTTTTTTGTTTTTTGAAACGGACTTAATGTTCAATTGCTTGAATAACACACAAATATAAAATATACGTTAATAACAACCGGAACAGATCCATAAACCATAATTAATGTTTAAATTAAATTGACATAAAAGGTATTGTCACTAAATAGGAATAAATTTATGTAATTCATGTATTCTAAAATTCTTGTAAAAAAACAAAGAGGGAATGTTTTGTTTGCCATTTAAAATATATTATTTTTGCAGTTGTAGTTTTTTACATACCAAGTCGTTTAACGGTGGCCAACTAAAAAACGTAAAATGAAACTTATCTAAAACTTTTTAATTAAAAATACAGAAGGTAGGAAACGAAAGAATATTTAATATAAATATTTTCTTTGCTTTGTATATTATTTTTAAAATTTTTTTTTATTATTAAAAACTTTTATTTCAGAGATTTGTAGGTAAGTTCAGAATTTTTTCGCATTTGAACTAAGCAAAAAATAACTTTAAAAAACGAAGTCCTTTTAAATAACAGCAGTTGCATGGAATAGAATTTCCAAAGGATGCAGAAATACTTGCAATTATCTTAAAGTATATATAAATATGTATATAAGTAATTTTTTAAATTTATAATAAAATAAGCATCTTAAAAGAAACTTAATTGATAGTTCTTAAAATTTTAATATTTAACGTTGGTTGCAAGTAATGTAGCTTAAGGAAGAAGCTAATTTTAGTTTCTCTTGTGGGTTTATGAGATATTTAGTTTCTTATAAAAGTATTATTTTAATTGTAAAAAAAATACTAAAGTATGAAAAAACTTTTTGCAACCAGTTTGAATTGCTTAAGATCTCAAAATAAATATGCTGTTTCTATTAAGTAGATACTATATAACTGCTATTCTAAGAAGAAAACTCAAGTTTTATTATTTCAAAAAATATTAATTATAATTTTTATACAAATACATCTTAAAAATACTTAAAACAAATTCTTGATTTTGAGTAAAAGATTTTAATAGTTATATTATTCCATTAAAAATGTTGACAGCTGAGAATTTCTTGAAATAATATTTTAATCCAATTAGAAAGCAAATAATAATATCTGTAAATATTCATAATCATTATTTTTATAATAATGCAGGATGCAGTAGTAAGAATTAGTTAGAATTAACTCCTAAGGCACACTTAAATAACAATCAACTCACTTAAATGATAATTACTACTTCAACCACCAATGGAACTAATCTCCATAATGTCACATTCTATGCATTTTACCCAATGTTTTCTAGTTCAATCTATCTATCTTTTTATAAACTATATTCAATTTATTTTACTGAAAAATACAATGAGCCACTCTCACTTGAAAAGTGAATAAGAATGAAATTTTTATTCTTACTTGCCCATAATTAAAATGTGCTTTTGTTCACAGATGTGACACATAAAACAGCATATCTTCCTTAACATCAATTTTAATTTATTTCAGCTTGTTATTCTCAATTAAGAAACAAACTTTGATGTGGTCAAAATAATGAAACAAAGGTAAATATTTCGAACTGATTTTTTGCCATTCCACCAACTTTTCAGAACGCTAAAAGCAATTTATGTACAAAATGACTTTCATGTTTTTCATTGTTATATATGTGGACGAATATGTACAGGGTGTTTCCTGACTAACGGATATTCCTGACTCTTGTTTTAGCAAATAAAAATTGCAGCAATGAAATGCTTATTATTCCATTTTCAAGTTTAACCGAAATACACATCGTCGAAGAATAAGTTTGCTCAAAGAAAGTTAAATCAAAAGATCCTGAATGTCTCGAAAATAATACTTCCTCACATATAAGGTCATATACCAAACCCATATAATTCTATTTTGTTTCTTATACCAAGTGTATGTCATTTAGTTAGGAAATATGCTATATATAGATATTTTTATACCACATAGTAAAATATATAAATGCGAATATATACATATGTATATAATAAATAAATTATTGTAATAAATTTATTTTATTTTTAGGGTACTTTAAATGATTTATTTACTGACATTGAAACTTGATAGAATTTATTTTAGATATATTTTTTCCATAACAATATTATTTTTTCCATAATAAATTTTTAACTTTTTTAAGTTAATTATTAACTAAAATATTAAAGCATTAATTTTATATTAAATTAATTTTTAACATCTGTTTTGACGAAAGAAACTAAATTCTTAATATAATATATTATTTTCAATAGATAGGGTTTTTATCGAAGAGTAGTAAATTACAACAACAAATTTTTTTTTATTATTTTTAATTAATTGAATTTTTAGCTGACTACACAGCTATTTCGAATATTACCAAATACTTATCATCAGTGAACGAAATTTTAGTTATAAATAATAAACAAAATGCAAACTAGATTTGAGACAATATCATCCAAATATTTTGAAATTATATTTGAAATATTTGAAGTTATATTTAACATAATTGATAAATATGTAATAAGAAAAAATCTTATTAAAAATGTCAGATAGATCTGTTTCAGAAACTGATGTAGTGTTTATGTCTCTTTCTTCTTTGCTTGCTTAAGTAGTTGCTTGCGAGTTAGTGTCTAAAGCACTTTTACTTTTTAAAGTGACTGTGATCATTTAGATGATCCACTGTAACAACAGTTCTATTGAATTCTAATTATAAGTTATTCAAATAATTTTATGGAATTTTACTTCGAAGCCCTGCATATCTTCCTGACAGAATATATATATTGCATTTGATTTGACAGAGTGCAGTTCTAATTTAGTACTTTGTTTTTAAAATACTTTCACACATTGTCGGATTATACTTATCTAATGCAGTCCATGAGAATCAGGCATTGACTTTCCGGGTTGCCGGATCGTGAACAGTGCATAGGCATTTTCGTCCTCTCTCCCCCATATCTCCCCCATAAAGATATACAAAAAAAATATCTTTATTAACGTATTACATATCTGTTAATTGATATGGAACCTGTTTGAAAGGCCACTAATTTATTTTATCTGATACAATAACATCAGTAAAGAGCATTCATAATAAATTACAAAAATATTATGAATCAAAATATTTTAAATATTTTCAGTGGTCTTCCCGACTTTTATCATTTTTATATCTAAACATAAATATTGCTTTCATATTAATCTTCATAAATATTAAATTATGTTATTTTATTTATTATTATTATGTTATTTATTTTATTATTTATATTACATAGATATAGATATTATTTTTGTTTATTTTAAAAGCATTTCATAGTTTTTAAATGAAATAGATAATTTTTCAACTTACCGTCTTGCGAAATAACACTCCCGCTGGGTGAATTTAATAGAGAACTAGACTTATAATGAACGGAACGGCGACTTTCTTGTAGTTTGTTGAAATAATCGACTGCATAATCGATCACATCTTCAGGTCTTTCCATCAAATATGCTATAGTAAAGTCTAATAGCACCTCCCTCAAACAATCAGGCACCTGAATCCGTTGCTTTGTATCACTTGACATACTGGGAGAAATTCTACAAAATAAAAAATTTAATTCATTTTTTGTTTTAATTAATTTGAAAGTTTACTTAAAAAATTAATACTATAAAAATATATATTATAACATTCATTCATGCTACATTCATAATAATTGCCATTATTTTCATTGGTGAAATTAATTGGAATTTGTCAGGAATGCTTATTTTGTTTCCAAACATAAGTGCTTCCATCCGCCACTTCTTGAGTTCGCTTGATTGCGTAAACTCAGACACAAACACTTAATAATACACAAGTGTTATTCCAAATGTCTCCGATCTATTGAGAAAGTTAGCTTTAGTCAGTTCAATTGGGCTGCACACTGGCGGCATTGGTGATGGCTTAAGGTTCCTTGGGGTGACGACATTCTTAGTATAGAAACAGTACTACGTCATTACCTTACATTAAGTATTTCAGCTCTATTTGGTATGATTAATTGAAGTGAAATATATGAAAAATATGTCTCAGCTTTTAAGTTTACTTTTTATTAGCTAAATTATACACATATTTACTCGAGTATTTTTGATGTAAACATGCTACTAAGTCAAAATTATAGCAATCACCACTTGAGGATTACTAGAAATGTACATAATGATAAATTATCGTTATTTTACGTAAAAAATGGTCAATATTCGGAAACCATAAATTTGGTATCTTGAATTAGATAAGAACTACAAAAAAAAAATATATAACAATTTCTCTACTTAATAAATGACATTGTAAATATAATTAAATTTTTTTTGCTTGTTATATGAAAATTTCTATTTGTGTATTTTTAATAAATTTTTTTGAAAGAAAATTTCAAGGATATTTTTAATGCTACTTTAGATAAAAAAACATGTAAATATGCTTCAGTTGAATATTAATTATAGTATATCAATTGTATATACGATTCATATTTGTTTGTGATTTTATTATAGATATTAGCTTAATTTAAATTAAATAATTTTTTTTTATTAAATTGTTATTTTTTTAATTTAATATAATTACAGGTAATATAAATGAATTGACACATATAGTATAAAAATTCTTTATTACATATTGATATAAAATTTACAAGAAAAAAATTATCGTTGACTCTGTTGATACTCTACACACAAATATCCATTATATACAAATAATTTTAATATCTTAATCATCCAAATAGATGAAATTTAATATTTCACGTAAAGCTCAATCCACTTAACTAAAGTTTAAACTTATTTTCATGAGTCATTTTGTAATTATCCTACAGGATATAACTAACTAATTTTAACAAAGATTTATTTTAAATAAAAGATTAGTTAGAACACAAACATTTAGACTAACAGCACTTTTCAACTATGAACTAGCATGAACTCGAGAAAAATGCAGTAATAAGTGTCATTTTTCATACAAAATCCATACAAAATTCATGCATAAATGGTTTAGCAAAGATAAATGTAAGATTGAATGTAGTATAACAGATGAACACCAGTTCGTCTTACCAAGGTGATCTAATAAATGCCTTATACCTTGTATAAGATCCATAATCTATTAATCTAACTAGTCTATAATATATAGGTTATATAGATCAATAATCATATCTTATGTATTAGATTATTAGAATTAAACCTTGTTGCTTATTACAAAAAATATCATTACATCATTAAAATCTATAAAATGTTCAAAAAATTTATTTCGCAATAAATTGAAAATAGGAGGTGCTATATACTTTATGGATTATGACACCGTACAATTGAAACCATACCAAAAAGCACGTACATACATATATCTATCACAATTAACGGTTTGTTTCATCACTTTCTAAAAAGTTTTACAGAAAACCTAACACACCCTTAGAATAAATGTAACACTATGCAGTGATATATTTGTAAAGGCCATGACCTTTTAACAGTCACCTCTAGATTTTCACTATTCTAGTGCGACAACTTTTTTTGGTGACATATCCACAAAATAAAAAATTGGTCTTATTACAAAAAATATAAATTTTGATACGAGAAGTCATGACCCATTTCATAATTTCATAATTTATAACAAGTTCAGCGGTTGTCAAACGATACGTATTGTAAAATGGCAAACATAACTAAGTTTAAGCCAGTTAAGTTTAGTTTTTTAAATTAAACTAAGCATATGATACCTTAAACGGCAACTTTCTTTATGTTATGTTGCTGAAATAATACTAAATCGGAACTAAGAAATAGATAATCTTATAGTGTATATTTATAATGCATAGTTTTTGAACTAATAACCCATGCATAATGTAAGGTCTTGAGATAAGCCGTTTCTGAGATATTGAAGTTTTTATAACCGAAATATTTTTTATTTTGAAGCTTTTGTTTTCGATTGATATTAAAAAAGGGAATACGTTCCTCTTGAGGCAAAAAGCCACACCTCCAAGCCCTAAAATATTACATTACGAGAGAAAGACCTTGAATGTGCTTTATAAAGTCTCTTAGGCGCTTCTTCACTGCATTATAGATATTATCATAAACTTATTATACGTGAAAATTATATAAAAAATAAATTGTAATATTATTATAATTTGTTTTTGTTTAAATTTTTATACTAAATACTGTTTAAAATTTTGGAATTAGAGTAAAATTATTTGTTGAATTGTTGAACTGCGGAGGGACTTGAATACCTTTTGTACGATTTAATGGTGCTGCGTTCTGCGTAATAAAATTTTTAAAAAATTCCATCTGCACACAAACATTACACACACCGGGTAAACTCATATCCTATTAACATTTAACAACGCCCGCGCGTAGCAAAGGCGCTTTAAAGTGCAGCTATAAAGCACAAACCACGAAAGAATTAAATTCATATATGCGTGCAAAATACAAAAAAAATGAAATAAAAAAAATGAACCACGAAAAAAAAAACAAAAATTCTAACAAAAGCCAAGCAATTCATTTCACATGCGAAAACATTTAGCTGCGAGCATGAAAGCGGATATGGAAATGGAAGGGAAACTGTGAACTATACAATACTCCCCTGTCGTGCCGATTCAGACAATTACTCGTAGGAAAAAGTGGAGTGCACAGTACACAGTATATGAAAGTTAGTTAAATGTTCCGAGGACAATAGTTTCATGGAAAACATTGGGCAACTGACAGTGCAAATCAGCGTGCTTTTAACGATTTTAACGCTGTTTTAACTCTGACACATCAGAGAAAGTTAACACTGATTTCAGTTTTGAAGCGTTGACAGACGGGAAAATATTAACTTCAAGCTGAGTTTCGGTTATTGGAGGGATGAATGCATTGAGCAAGTGAATTTCACCAAAAAAGTATTTTCAGCAAAAATAGTTAATTAACGATTTTATGACTAGAAGAAGAAAACTATTTTGCATGCTGTGCTATAAACAATAAAGAAAAACTTATTTATTAAATGATTCTTGATAATAATTCCCCTTCACAGAGAGTTCTGCGAGCCATTTTATTATATGATTTTGAATATTGAAATATATCCATTAAATCAGAAACTATAAAATGATCGGGAATTAATGATTCCTAATAATAATTTCCCTGCACACAGAGTTCTACTATAGAAGTCATTATTAAAGATGTATGTATTTAGCAAATCAGAAACTATAAAATTATCAATAATAAATATATTTCTGATAATATTTCTATTTTTTGATTATTTATCTTTAATTTTCCCTTCCAAAAATGAAAATAACGCTTTGCAGAGGTTCTCAAACTGTGCCTTCAAGGATCTTCAATTATAAAAATTAACTTCTCCATTTTGTTATTAGTTTAAATTATAAAATGATCAATAATAAATAAATTTCTGATAATAATGTTTCTATTTTCTAATTATTTATGTTTAATTTCTCCTTCCAAAAATGAAAATAATGCTTGGCAAAAGTTCTCAAACTGTGCCCTCAGAGCTCTTCAGTTATAAAAATTAATTTCTCCATTTTGTTATGATGTTTAAACTATAAAATTATCAATATAAATTTCTGATAATAATATTTCTATTTTTTAATTATTTATCTCTAATTTTCCCTTCCAAAAATGAAAATAACGCTTTGCAAAGGTTCTCAAACTGTGCCGTCAAGGATACTCATTAATTAATTCCTCCATTTTGTTATATAGTTTTAACATAAAAAATTTTTATACAATTAAAAATTAAACTTTTTGTTTTTCGAACAAATTGAACAAATTATATGTAATATATAGGACAAAGAATGATTTTAGTTAGTTCTCTATGTGTATATTCAATTTTCCAGTACTATTTCTAATATCAAAAGTATGAATATCATCCCTGATGGCATGATGAGTATGAACTATAACTACTATAACCACATGGTCTGAATTCTGAGTCTAAGTTTACTAAAGTCTGGTTTAAAAACATGCTTACAGATTCTTTGTAAAATGCTTAGTGAATATGTCTCTAGCATAGAACTGTAAGTACTCCTTAAATTCGCAAAAATATTTTTTATAAAATCTATGTAAATTTTTAACTCTGTCTGGTATCGTTAGAGACTAAACGAGTCAAACACTTTAAACGAGGTACTGATTTTAGTTTCAAGAACAGAAAAAGTTGCTATGTTCCATATCTATCATAAGAATATTATTATGCCATCGGAGAACGGGTTAAAGTATGAGTATATGAAAATATGTAATGTTAACAAAGGGTAATTGGTTTATATGGGGACTAATATGTTTGAAATTAGTATTGATTTGATTATTTTAGTCGCCGGCTACTGATAATAATAAAAAATATATATACATTTTTTATTTTAATCATGACCGATTTTTGAACATTGTTGCGTTGATTTAAAACTTCATATTCTGCAGATTTTTAGATATTAATTATAATTCTAGAGGTATTCGTTAATAAGAGATAAACTTAATCTACCTACATATTTACTATATATACTAATTATATATACATTTTTTAATTTTTTTTTTTATGTTTTATATTTAAAAATAATTTTTAACATTTTAAATACCCTTATTGTATGAAAATATTTTCCTCTTTTTAATTTTAGCATTTTAACGTTTTATGT